GCGGCACCCTGTGGACTGGCAGTGACCCAGCCGGGCAGAGGCGGGGAGAGGGCCGCGCCGCGTGGCACGACACCGGCGGCCCCGTTGGGGGGGGGGAAGAACCCAGATGCACAAGAAAGGGGGTGAACCGCACCAGCGACACGACGACAAGACTTTTTTTTTTTCCGAGAGGAGGCTGCGTTTCTCAGTGGGAAGAGCACCTTGCCTGCCTCCCCTCCCTCCCTCCCCGGCTTTTGTTTCCTGTGGTTTTCGTTTCTTCCCATTTTTCCGTCCCCCCCGCCAGCAAAATCCTTGGATAAAGTGGGGAGGGGGCTTCTTCATCCAAGAAGGACCTTTCCGATGACTGCCAAGTCCGGCTTTCTTTCCGCCCCCTCCCGTCCTTCCCCTTCTGGTGGAAGCAGGCGGGCCCTTCCGCTCCGAATCGGCCTGGCAAAGGGCCCACCCACCCTCCCGTACCCCCCCCGGCTGGGTTTTTAATTCCTCGGACCTCTGGGGTGGGCAGAGGGTCCGAAGGAGGAGACCTTATAGGCTTGAACTGAGGTGGTTAAAAAAAAGAAAGAAAAGAAAAAACAAAACAAAACACTGAAACCGACTCGTGCCTGTTCTTCTGGGCCGGAAGGGAGTTGGCGTAGCGTGGGCAGGGCAGGCTGTCTGGCGGGCACGGCAGCGGCTTTCCCCCCCCCTTGGTTCCAGGCGGTCCTCGATTTGCGAGGGTCTGTTTAGGGAGCGTTCGAAGTTACGACGGTGCTGAAAAACATCTTACGAGATCCCTTGCGGCCACACGGTCAAAATTCAGGCGCTTGATAACTTGACTCGTATTTAGGACGGTCGCAAGGTCCTGGGGTGTGTGTGTGTGTGTCACGGGATCCCCTTTTGCGAGTCTTTGATTGGCAATGTCAATGGGGGAAGTCAGATCCGCTGACGATTCCCTTAACAGCAAGAGGTGGCAAGAGGTCGCAAAACGTGGCAAAGCTGCGTTAACCAATGTCCCACTTAGCAACGGGAACGTTGAGCGCCATTGTGGTCATAAGCCGAGGACCCCTGTATTCCTCCTATCCCCGAGGTCAATGGGGGTGGCGGAGGGGACGGCCAGAAGAAGGAACAGGGCGGCTTGTCTCGCACCCGGAGCCGGTGTGCTAGTTCCCCAAATCTTTGACGTAAACCAGGGGTCTTCAAACTGGGCCCTTTGATGACTGGTGGACTTCAACTCCCAGAATTACTCAACCAGCGTGCCTGGCTGAGGAATTCTGGGAGTTGAAGTCCACAAGCAGGGGTCTTCAAACTTGGTTCTCTCATGACCTGTGGACAATTCCCAGAATTCCTCAGCCAGCCTCCATTTTGTTCGTTAGATTTAAGCCAGGGGTCTTGAAACTCGGCCCTTTGATGACTTGTGGACTTCAACTCCCAGAATCCCTCAGCCAGGCACGCTGCCTGAGGAATTCTGGGAGTTGAAGTCCACAAGCAGGGGTCTTCAAACTTGGTTCTCTCATGACTTGTGGACTTCAACTCCCAGAATTCCTCAGGCAGCGTGCCTGGCTGAGGAATTCTGGGAGTTGAAGTCCACAAGTCATCAAAGGGCCGAGTTTGAAGACCCCTGACGTAAACCACGATCTTGTTGGTTGTAACCCCAAATTGTGGTTTACGCGGGTGGCGGTGGGGTTGGGGCTGCTCCAGGCCGAGGCCTGCCCATGTCTGGGACCCCCTCGTGCCGCCCCCGATGTCGCTGCGGACTACAATGCCCATCCCCAACCGAGCACCGGAAGGGGGAGGGGCTTTCTAGTCCGCCTTGGCATCCAGCTCGGGGGCGGCCTCCCCACGTGACCCGCGCCTGGTTGGGCGAGCCGTGGGCGTCGCCCACGTGACCATTCCTCTTCGCTGACGTCAGTCACATGACGAGACGCTGCACCGCCTTTTTCCTTAGCCGTGTCCTTCCGCGCCTCCCTCCCGAAGCCCTCTTTGGAGCAGCGGGGGGGCTCTTTTGTGGGGAGGGGGGACTCTCTTTATAACCCTTCCTCTTTTTTTTTTCCTTCGAGCCCCCCAGTTCTTTATTTCAGCCTCGTTTCCGCCTCGACGGCTCTGCGCACTACTTTGTTTTGGTGTCACGCGGCCACGCAAACCACGCACGGCCCGCTGACGTCACGCGCCCGAGGGGGGCGGGGCCCGGTTTAGGCGGGCGGGGGGAAGGAAATCCGGTTGTTCCTAGCTCGAATCCGCTCCGGCCGGGCCGCCCCGCCATCCCGTCTTGCTCCCTCGCGGCGTCGAAGCGAGCGAGAAAGGACGGCGGGAGGCCAATGTGGCGTTGGTGGGCCCTGCCGCTCCGCGCCGGCGCTACTTTCCCCGTCTTCGGATCGCTGCGCCGCGTCCGCCCCGCGCATGCGCGCTGGTTAGGTGCAGCGGCCCTTCCTCGGTCCGCCGCGTCGCCTCCTCCGCCTGTCGTCTCCGCCGCCGCCGCCGCCGCCGCCATGAAGTTCGTCTACAAGGAGGAGCACCCCTTCGAGAAGCGCCGCTCCGAGGGGGAGAAGATCCGGAAGAAATACCCGGACAGGGTCCCGGTGAGTCGCCGGCCCGACGCACCGCTTTGAGACGGCGTCCGGATTTTCCCGGACGTGGCTGCCTCTCTTCCCCCCCTTCAGCGTCCGCCTCTCTTTTCTCTCCGGCAGGTCATTGTGGAAAAAGCCCCCAAGGCCCGAATAGGGGACCTGGACAAGAAGAAGTACCTGGTGCCCTCCGACCTCACAGGTGAGATCCGGACAGGTGCGGGGGGGGCGGGAGGAGAGGGGATGCTCATTGATGGCGGGGGGGTCAAAGGAGGCCAAAACTGGGGCCACCCACCCCTAAGAGCCCCCCCTCCCCTTATAAGGGGGTTCCCACCCACCCCTACCTCTTACAAGTGCTTCCTTCCGGGTGACTGGCTCTCCTCTTGGTGCCCTTTCCCCAGTGGGCCAGTTTTACTTCCTCATCCGGAAAAGAATCCACCTGCGGGCCGAGGACGCCCTCTTCTTCTTCGTCAACAACGTCATCCCCCCGACCAGTGCCACCATGGGGCAGCTCTACCAGGTGGGTCCCCCCCCACCCCACCCTCTTTCTCTTTCTTCCCCCTAAAAAAAAAGAGACCCCCCCAAAAAAAATCAGGAAAAAAAAATAGCCTCTCCAAAATGACAAACTGTTGTTTACTCTCAACCACAGTAAACAACGTAGGTCGGGGATAATTGGCAAAAGGTGTACAAATGCATCTATCTATCTATCTATCTATCTATCTATCTATCTATCTATCTATCTATCTATCTATCTATCTATCTATCTATCTATTTCTGTTTATCATCTATCTATCTATTTCTCTCTATCATATATATAATATAATATATATTCTGGGCAAATGAAAACCCTTGGATGAGGCCGGCCTCCTAACTGGCTTGAATTCCCGTCATCCTTCCAGGTTCCTGCTACAAATTGTACTTTATACTTTTTATTTGTTTTGGCCAAGTGTGGTTGGACACGCAAGGAATTTATTTCCGGTACAGAAACACTCGGTGTACTTTCAAAACAACATAATAATAATAATAATAATAATAATAATAATAATAATAATAATAATAATAATAATAATAATAATAATAATAATAATAATAAAGTGTACAGGTAGAAAGTGGAAAAAAAATAACAAAAGCAATAAGTAATTCCTTTGTGACATTTTACTGTTTTCTTCTGTTCCTTTCCCTTGTTAGCAGCCTCGAGTTTTCCAATAAATTTATTTTTAAAAAAGTCCAAGGCTAGGCAGGAGAAGGGTTGAGGGGAATTGTAGTCTTTGGGACTGAAAGTAAGGAGGCAGGTGTGTTTTTTTGGGGGGGGGTGTTCCAGGGGGGGCTTCAGACCATCCCTCAGCCTGGCTTAGTCATACAGGCGGCGGTTTGGGGGGGCGCGTTTGACTTAACTAAAGAAAAGGCAGAGTGTAAATTTTACAATAAATTTACAATCAGTGCAATAAAGCTTGAACTGGTTGGGTGGGTTTATCTGAGATTTTCGCCACCACCCCCCCCCCCAATTCTTTGATCTAACAGCATCTATCCTCCCCCCCTTTTTTTCAGGAACATCACGAGGAAGATTTTTTCCTTTATATTGCCTACAGCGATGAGAGCGTCTACGGCAGCATGTAAGACCCCCGAGCCCACCGGCTGCCGCCAAGGGGCACCTGGCCCCGAAGGGACCTGCACTTTCTGTTGTTACTTGTTGTTGACTTTATGTTAAAAAAGAAAAAAAGTTTTGTTTTGTTTTTTGGGGTTTTTTTTGCTCCAGGAAAATGGAGGGTTCTCTTCCCCCGTCCCCCCCCCCCTTTATTTCTGGCTGTGAATCTTTAACTCTCTCTTCCTCTTTTAACTCGCTCCTCCCTTCTTTTGGCTTTGCTCTCTGGGTTTTTCCTTTTTGAGGTGGTTGTGGCTAAAATTAAATACCTCTCCGTGATGGTTCTCTCCTTCCCCCCCCCTCTTCTGCCCCCCCCCCGTCCTTCCGTGCTCCTTTCCTTCTTTTTTTTTGTTGAAAAGGTAGGAGATCTCCAATTTCTCCCTCCAAAGTGACACAGACCACCCCCCCTCGCCCACCCACCCATTTTGGTTTTTTTTTTTCAAATTTCCTTTGCCACGCGCCCCGACTTTGCTTTCATCAGGGATGTGCGTCGCCTGGTAGATTTCTGTAACCAGAGTTTGGGGGCGGGGGAGGGGGGGGAAACGAATGCTAATTAAAAAAAAAAGGTATATAAGGAGAACATGTCGGACTCTGGAGACTTTTTTTCATCGCCGAGGTTTATTAAGACACATCTGGGACGTTGCAAACAATCTGGGCCAGCGGAGTTGAATTAACTGGCCGAGGGAGGGGAAGAATCTCAATTATGACTCTCGGAATTCCCCCCCCCCTCCCTGCCCCATATTCTGTTCCAGCCCTAGAGGGGATTGTGGTGGTGGGTCAAATCCTTACTGGCCGAGGAATAATTCAAACCCGCCGGATCCTTCCAGAAGTCAGGAGGTGCCCGATCACACCTTTTTTGCGAGCGGCAGCGTTTAATAAAAGGTGTGAGTTGACGCAATCGGGTTCTTCCCGAGCTACCTTGGATAAGCGTGGCGCTCTCTTTCTGCTAAGATTTAGCAAAGAAAGCCGGCTAGCGTCGGAAGGAGGTCACCTGGGCAGGTGGGGGGCTTTTCATGCTGAAGGCAGTACTGGCTTGATTGGCGGCTAAAGGACCCTCCGGACTTGCATTGCTCTGGGTCAGGGGCCGCCCAGCTTGGCAACTTTTTTAAGACTTGTGGACTTCGATTCTTCGCCTGCTTACTCTCTTCTCGTCCCTTCCTCTGCAATCTCTCCCTGTAAGGAGTAGGAGAGAGAAAAAAACAAACCAGGCGTGGTTGAATGGGGAATTCTGGGAGTTGAAGTCTACCAGTCTTCGAGTTGCCAGGTCAATGAAACCTAAATGCTTACTCTCTTCTCGTCCCTTCCTCTGCAATCTCTCCCTGTAAGGAGTAGGAGAGGGAAAAAAAAACAACCCAGGCGTGGTTGAATGGGGAATTCTGGGAGTTGAAGTCTGAGTTGCCAGGTCAACGAAACCTAAATCGCCCCTTAGCAAGTTTGGTCCCCGTTTTGGGCTGGAGACATACGTGGGTCTCTTCCCCTTCTGGCCCCAAAAGCTGGTTCCCCACAAGAAGCCATTTTGGCAAAGACCAACACTCCCCCGGCTGGCCGAACATGCTGGTTTGCCCACAAGAAAGCGAGCCCTGAAGCTATTGGAGAAACGGCTGCAAGAGCGGACGGCTTTGGCTGCATTCACACGAGACGCGTGTCCTGAAAAGCCACCTCTGCCTCCCCAGCGGGGGCCAACTTGGACATCAGGTTCCTGGGCATATCAAGAAAGCCCGCCACCCCCGCGGACGGGCGAGGGGAACTACAGCCCCCAAGATCCTCCGCCGCCGCCGCCTCCTTTCCCCCCCCTCCGGGCCGAAAGCCAAGACCACACTACCCGGCATGCCTCGCTTCCTCCAGCCGGGCGACTCCGGCGGAGGAGGAGGAG